GTACACAACTAGTAATGTATATTCGATGAATCTAACAAAGAAATAAAAGAAATTCACACTCTAAATTTACTAAGAATAAAGTTTAGTACATAGTTTGTTACCATAACAAAATAAAGATGTGATTAATACTTCAAACAGCATTGACACAAATTTATTTGATTCAAACACACGGAGCAGCATATCTTTCCAGAAAATAACCAGCAAACAACACGGAATTGTTTGACAATGTGGCTGAGTGAAGCTGTATTCCCAGTGAAGGCTCAAAATTTTAATCCTGATCCACTAAACTTTTGTTCAGTAATATGATCCAACTTCTCCACCATCTCAGTAGGAAGATGATTCTTCCAATCTCCGACCTCGCCTCGACGGAAGAATGCCTTGTTTTCCTCACCAGATGACAGCTTCCCAGCCCTGTTGATTTCCAGGTTGCTCAAAGTATCGAAGCTACATAGCTTTAAGATTTGTTCCACCATTCCTGATTCTTCTTCCTCATTGGAAAATGGACACCCCAAGAACTCAGCAATGCCTCTAAGATTATCTGTTGGGCATTCTTTCATGTCCTCGTACTTTAAGAATAACACCTGTTGATAAAAATATATAAATGAATAATTTGTCTATTTATAATATTATAAATTTTTAGATGAGGTGGTTGAACGTAATATCTCAAAATCTTGTGCACGAATGAGGCCTCACATAATATCTTAAATTCATTGCACACATGAATGTCAGCTGAAAACAATATGAGTTATGTGGGTTGACAAAGTTGGTTGACAAAATCATACTCACATCAATCATTTCAAAATAGATTTTTAAATCATTTGAAATCACTGATCTAGATTTTGCCAACACACTTTGTAACTCAACTTTGTACAAGTAGCTTTATTGAAACAATATAAATGAATAAAATTGCCTTCCGAAGTGGTTCTGTTGTACCTTATGAGGATTCTCCATGCTTTCTTTCCAATAGTCTAACACATGGTCCCAATATGGTCCATAAATAGTCACTCCTCTACAGAACATATCAAAGGTTTCTTCAAGTGAATTAGTTCCCATTTCTTGAAGCCTTAACTTGTTAGTGAAGTGCCAAAGGGACACGAAAATGTCCTTGGGGTTCCTACACAGATAAACAAACTTGCATGAAGAATCGTGCACAGATTTTGGAAGGGAAAAAAAAGGTATATGGGTTGCAAATAGCCTGGGAGAGTTAAGGGAGGAAAGATCAGGGATTTGATTATCGACATAGAGTTTAATTTCCAGGAATGGCACAAGATCGTGTGGATTTTTGCTGAGTAGAGGGTGTTCTTGAGTAATGGGATATTGCATTCGATTCATTAAGGTAAACATGATTGCCTTCAACCAGGTTGTCCCT